ATTTTAGCCATGCCCAAGGAATTTCCGCAAATTTTTTATGAACTTTTAATCCATCCCATGGAAATTCCTTGACAGTTTTTGATCTAGCCAGTGGAAATTCCGTACTGATTCTTTGATTAGTAGCTATCCCTTGGAAAATTCCTTGCTGATTTTGATCCTATCCTTTGGAATTTCTTTTCCATTGTTGACCCTCCCATGGAAATTCCATACGTTTTACTCATTTTTCTTACCTACCCTTTGGAATTTCCGCAGATTTGCTTTAATTTTAAAATTTGGACCCTCCCATGGAAATTCCTTCATTTTTGGTTCACTTTTGCAGGGGGCCATTGGAAATTCCACATGTCCTCAATAGGGGGGGGGGGGTGGATTAATAATGCGATCAGCCGTTGTAGCCTTGGAAGATTTTGCCTCCATCAAACAAAGATCATGATAAACCTACATCCTTCCGAAAAATAGTAGCTTTATATGCCTTAACTGACAAAGTATCTATAAATTTTTCTGATATATTTTCCAAATATAGAAATGTTTATGTATTTAGAAAAATTAGATTTAGTCTGTTTCATTCTTGACGGAGCAAAGCTTAACATTATTTCCGGACAAATATTTTAAATAAACACATTTTAATATTAAAGATATAACAATTGCCCAAGAGCTTTTAGCTCATCAAGGGGCTCTTGTTCTATTTACAGGAATTTGGTTGCAAGTAGGCGGTAAATATATTATGTCAATTTAAAATATAACCGGACAAATTAATATAACCAAATATTAGAAATTTTTAGAATTGGGAACAATTTCATAACTTTTACCAAACATTGACAAACTTTTGCCAAGTTTGACCTGCAGTTTCGAAAGCAAACAATTCGCGACATGTTGCACGTGTTTTTGACAGCCGAATTATTTGGCTGGTCAGCGGCTTCCGCAATATAACAATAACAAAATTGAGTTATAACAATGGAGGAATGACTAGCATTGCCTGTTGACAAAAGAAGCAAGATTTTATACATATGAGACTGTGTCTAAAATAATCATAAGATGTCGAAAGTGATTAATTTAAAACCCTAAAGAATAATGGCAGCTGACGAATGTCAAATAATATGTCAACTGACAATCGATTCGTTGATCGAGGCATATATTATCTTTGTATAAATTATATTGGGGTAGGTTTTCTCTTGACTTTTTAAATAATCTTCAAAGTAAATCGATGTTCGATAATTTGTTAACTAACGGACATCTTTACCTGTTGCAAATTTATAATTTGTCTTTGTTTATATTCAGCTAGAAAATTTTTATTATTTATACAATACGGCCCATACTTAACGAAATGCCTGTGTCAGTGCATTTTCCTAAAAGACTTTAGACAACAGCAAAGGTCAAACGAATGTTATCACTGTTCTAGGTCAAAATAATAAGTAAAATTTCGGTCTTTGAAAGCAGAGTTTGCAGTAAACGGTGAACGTTCTTATTTGATCTAAACTACCGAAAGTCGAAAATGTTGATTATTTGTTGGCCTGTAGTACCCCCAAAATTTACAGGCCGCAATATTTAATTTTACATTATGTAAGACCAACCTTTAATCTCACCATACAAATAATATTACATTCATGGCAAGTCTAACTTTTGAATTTTAGGATTTTTATTTCAACAATTTTTAAGGAACTTGGAAATCTCTATTTTAGTCTGTCATGAATGATGTCATTTCTATAATTAGAAAACATATTTGAAAAATTGTGTAGATACCTTTTTACTTAAGACATATAAGGCTACTATTGTGTGGAACGATTTAGTTTTATCATTATTTTTGTTTGATGTAGAGAGGTTTAAAAATCAGTAAAAATCCACTATTGAGAAACAGCAAAAATCATAATTTTAGCCCTCAACTTGACCCCCCTGGAACTTTGCCAAAATGCAATTAGACTGAAAACAAAATGCATTTTGAAACAAACCTTATAAAGGCAATCTCAAGTACAAAGTTTGAGAGAAATCTATTTCTTGATCCAAAGAGGTCATGAGGTTCTTACAGAGACTGCCTCTTAAGTCTTAATCTACAGGATTATAGTTATCAGTTGAAAATACCGATGGTAAATCGATTGCGGGTTATTTACGGGAACGAGGAATCCATATAATTATGATTTTGACAGCGGTATATATATGAATCATAAGATATCGCGAGTTTGTTTAAGTCTTAATCTACATGACTATACTCTATAGTTATCAGTTGACATTGCCGATGGTAAGGTACCGACGGTACCGACGGTAAGGTCATTTGGTGAGCGTGCCTATCCATGCTCAGCTGGAGTTCACGAAGTTGCGTGAGTATTGGACATGTATGATTGAAGGGGCCGAAAACGGCCTTACAAGCAAGGGGCCCAGCGGGCGTTTGCCGGATGAGCCCGACCTGCCAGTCCTCCCCTGTAAACTTTAGACAAAGAAAAATCAGCTTTAGCAGAACATGTGTGTGACACAAGGTTGGGTGGGAAAACTTTAAAGTAATTACCACGAACAATCGATATGGAAAAAGACTATGCCTAAGAACGTGGTATAAAAATGTGAGTAATCATGCTTTGAATAGGGATGGCGGTGCCTATTTGCCAGAGGAATACATGCATCTCATTGGCAGGTGACGTCGTTCCTCGAGTATTTATAAAGTCACGATTGCTACTTTAGATCACCCTTGATGAAGGCACTAGACTGGAGTGTCGAAATGTTCGGTCTTGATGACAATTCGACTGGGCTTTTAATAATTTATTTAAACCGATCGAAACATGATTAATATACCTGGTTGCAGTGAACGAACAAACATTTAATCTCTGTAGAAAGGATGTTTCTGGCAGCTATTGTCAATAAATGTAATTTTAATTTGGAGCATACATCATTAACTAATTTATTATATTGATCAATTTTATGATTGTTTACTTTACTATCATAGCGCTTGATAACACCAGATACTGCTAATTTGTTGATGTGGGCTTTTGCTTTTTGATGAGACTTTACATGCCTGCAGCAACCTTCTCTGGTTCTTCACGCACCAAGTCGTTTGTTCCAGCATGTAAGATCATCGTGTTGTACTGCTGTTCCTCTGCAAGGTTTTCATCAAACTTCTTGGCAAGCTGGGTCAGAGTGGCTCCACTGTAAGAATGCGAAATTGCCTTGCCACGTGCAGCTCTGCCAATCTTGTTTCCTTCAATATGCTTTGCCATGTAGAATATTCTATCGCCAAAACTGCTTTCTTCTGGCTTAGCTTCGTGGTGAATTTCTTCACATTATTACTGGATTCTTCTCTCAATCCCTTGCCTTTGAATTTTGCAAGCTTTCTACAACGAGTTGAGTCCTTAGATGGTCCCTTTGGTGATTGGCTTCTTTGGAATTTTGGTCATTGCCAGAACTTGATTCTTCCACATCAGGTATTTGAAATGCATTGTGTGTGAGTGGAATCTTTTCCGTATTGACAGCAGGTTTTCATGATTTCTTGGGCTTTTGTTCCACCTTGGTTCACTTGTTTTGTTTCATAACAAGAACACACTTGATATTGGCATTATCACCGCTCCATTCACTTAAACTTAAATTCAACTGTTCGATTTCGACCGCCATTTTGTTATTTTGTTCTTACAGTCATGTTTTTATGGTAATTTCTAAATTTATTGATTCGAATACTGACCGCCGCGGTTCTTATTCTTGTTTAGCTTTGATTTCATTAATCAGAGTCATGTTGGCAATTTGATGTCCATAACCTTTACAATTTCCGCACTCAGTGACTTTTATTGACATTAATTTGGCTTTGGATCGTGTTGTTTGTTATTAACGACGATGGACACGTGTGTTGACTTTATTAAATTGCGTTCACATTTTTTGCCAAGAAACTGGAGAAAAAGCGCGAATTAAAAACTGGGGAAAAACAAGACAGTACTTCCTGACTTTATAATGCTCGCGCATTAGCTAATCAAATTACGTATTATATCTCACTTACATTATAATTACTTGTACATCAATATTTACTCGTCCTAATATTTACCCATATACATATAGGCGTCGCTTTGGTATGTGTACATTAATTTGCGGTTAGATCTCGAACGTTGGCCTCTTTTGCTTGTTTTGCCAAAGTGCTGCACGTACCAGAGTCGCGGAGCCGCGAGTTCGATCCCTACCAGGGGGTCTGTGGTTGCGTTTTTTGCAATTGTTCCTGGTTAGGTTTAATAAATGTATAAAACTCACACTCGAAGTTTTCATCTAAAAAAATCTTCTACCATGATATTTTGTCCTGTTACATAGGGCTATTTACAAATTTGATATACCTCTCCATTGCCCATTACCAGATAATTTTCTTAAGAGGCGTTGTCATATTTTCTACTCGAATTTGCTTCGTTTCTCCTTTCCATATTGCTAGCTCAAGGTCCAAAACTTCAAGGGTGAAGCCCAAACTCTGTTTGAGGATATATGCATGAGGTCTGTAATTGGTTTATTGACCGGAAGGCAAATTTGTGGCCAAAGTAAGCAGACTTTAAAGGCCCGGTAAAGGCCCTGTCACACTATTGCGTATCGTACTAGCGTATGCCAGCGTATGAAAAATATCACTCATACGCCGGTATACGCTGACATGCGCTAGGGGTACGCTAGGCATAGGTTATATACGTTTCAATCACAGTCGCATACGGTGGCATACGCTGGCATACGCCGAGGTAGAAAATTTCTTTAAGCATGTTCAAAAATTTTGTGCGTATTGGACGTATGCTTTATACGATAAGCATACTTTAGGCACACGCTGAATACGCTAGAGGTACGTCAGATGTACGGTACTTATACGCTGGCATTTCAAAGGATTTTTGTGCGTATGAAAATGATTTCATTAATTTTCGTACGCTTCTCATACGTTTCTCTCATACGCAATAGTGTGACAGGGCCTTAAAGGCCCTGTCACACTATTGCGTATCGTACTAGCATATGCTAGCGTATGAAGAATATCACTCACACGCCGGCATACGCTGACATACGCTAGAGGTAAGTTAGACATATACACGTTTCAAGCACGATCGCATACGGTGGCATACGCTGGCATACGGCGAGGCAGAAAATTTGTGCGTATCCGACGTATGCTTTATACGATAAGCATACTCTAGGCACACGCTGAATACGCCAGAGGTACGCCAGATGTACGGTACATACACGCTGGCATTTCAAAGGATTTTTGTGCGTATGAAAATTATTTCATTAATTTTCATACGCTTCTCATACGTTTCTCTCATACGCAATAGTGTGACAGAGCCTTAACACTACTTCGTATGAGTGAAACGCATGAAAAGCGTATAAAATTAATGAAATAATTTTTATAAAATTCTTTGGAATGCTTGCGTATGAGTACCGTATATGTGGCGTAAAATGTTTAAGCATGCGTAAAAAAGGTTTTGCTTCGCTGTGTGCTAGGAGGGGGTGAATAGAGGTATACAAATCCGCCGATCCGCCCAAATTAAAATCCGCGATCCGACAATGGTCTTGTCTAAATTTGAATCCGCTAAATGCTCTACTATGAAGTCACAATCCAGGATCCGAACTTAATTGCAAGCTAAATCCACAATCCGGGCCAAAATATTAGATAAATCCGCAATCCGCTGTATTAATAAGATCCGCAAACCCGTGTAAAATATTCGCCAGATCCGAAATCCGAACAATTTTTTCTGTGAAATCCGACAATCCGAAAACCTATTCACCCACTCTGCCAGGGTATGCCACCATATGTGCCCGTAATTGAAACGTATACAACCTATGCCTAACATAACCCTTATATATGTTAGCGTTTTCCAGCATATGAGTGATATTTTTCATACGTTGGCATACAATAGTACGATACGCAATAGTGTGAGAGGACCGTTACGTGCAAGCGCAAGGGAACCGCTAATTAAGTATGCAGAGAACGATCATAAATGTACAAGTAAATTTTTCTTAGATAGTTGAAAAATGCTTGAAGTTAAAATAAATAAATTTTAAAATTAAAAATAAAATATAGAAAAATTAAAAATTAAATATAGAAAAATTCATCCATGAATCTTCTTACTTTTACAGATAAACTACATAATTTGCAAATATGCGTGTATATATACTAGTGTTAAGGACAACCAATTTCTATCCCAACTTGTAATTTGTGTACTTTAAAATGACTCACAAGACCAATAATACTTGCCCTGAAGTATTTGCCACATTGTTAAGGTTACAGAACACCTTTGAGTGTTAATTTTGCCTAAACATTTTTTATTGGTTTCCATGAAAGCATTAGACTAGTTCTACTATCTGACCAAGTTAACGTTTGAACGAAAAATGTTGAAAACTCGCAGAGTTATTTAATAAAATACATTTCGCTGCAATAAGAAAAACATTGAAAATGTAATATTTAAATTCAATTTTCTCCAGAAGAATTTTACGGTAATTACTGATTTTCCAACGAGTTGTGCTCCTGCGGGTTTTGACCAATTTTTCTCAAATTTTCACAGGGCATAGCTAAAGACGTCAGTTTCAAAATTGTGTTCGGCTTTTTTTTAATTTTGGATATTTTAATAATAAAGAGCAATTCACTCAAACAATTCAAAAATATATTGCAGTCGTCAAAGAAATCGCCATATCAGCGGATGACGAAATAAACAAAAAATTCCGAACACAATTTTTTAGAACAACTATATTACTGTATAAAAATGATATTTTCATAAACATATCTTAAAACCAGCAGGCGCACAACTCAAAAGCGTAACGGTACCGCGATTTAAGATTTTCCTGAATAATTCTTACATTATTTTATTGTTTGTTAATTTTACAACTTTACCTTATTTTGCATGCACTGGAGAACATTTGGTGAAAATTTGATGAAAATCGGACTGATATTGATCGCACAGTAGCGATTTTCCGCAAAACGCCAAAAAGGGTATCCTGTAACCTTAATTAACATGAAAACAAAACAATTACAAACATATATATATATATATATATATATATATATATATATATATATATATATATATATATATATATATATTCAGCTAATTCAAAAAAGGTTGTCCTTTGCAAATCTTAAACTCTAAACCTTAAACCTTAAACACTAAGCGCGCAAAGCATAATGGGAGCACTGATTTCAAGCTTAGTAGTTGGATATTGCAGCTGTTTGTGAGTGAAATGTTTTCGCAGGGAGATATTTACCATGTCTCCAAGAAATGGGCTCCATATATGTTTTCTAAACTGCCTAAATCGTACTCCCATAATGTTGTCCGGATTGAAATATACTTTTATTGAGCTTTCGACTCGGTACTTCGAGCCTTCAGAATACTGAGATTAAGATTACATGCAACCTCGTTCCCAGGGCTTCAGTGTGAGGACGAGGCGAGACACGAAGAAGCCCTGGTCCGGGCCGGTCAATTTTGCATTCTGATTGGCTAACACCATATTGTCTAAAAATAACTGAACTTGACAGTTGACAATAACAATTCAACATTTGTATTTTTATGATTCTTGTGTGTACGAGTATGTTTTGCAAAATAATC